CCCCAAAACCCCAAAACCCCAAAACCCCATCCTAACATTAATAACATTCTAGATTTATTTTAAATAATATTATTTGAAATTATAAGCTTTGAGAAATTATGATTAATTAAAAGGTTATTTACAGGATAACAATTGCTTGTTGATGGTTTCTTCAATAGATTATTTATTAAAGAGATTATCTAAAATTCTTCCTTCAACAAGCGTGTTATTATATTATTATTTCTATATTTCAAATGCAGTTGATCATCATGACACATTAACAATTCAAATAGAATCTTCCCAAGGTGTCTTTCCATTCTTGTTGGCGATGCTCTCATTTGCTCCAAATGAAATAAGCAAATCGGCAATGTTAGGAAATCCATATTTAATTGCATAATGCAGAGCTGTATTTCCTTCATTCTAGAAATATGATTTAAGTACAATATCTCTTACATTGGGTATGTTTGCATCAGACCCGTAATTTAACAAAAGCTTGACGATCTCATAACCCCCAACCTATGTGGCAGCTGAGAGGAGAGTGTTCCCGTTTGAGTCCTAGAAGGAATCCAGAGACAATTCATATTTAGGTAGGAATTCTTTGAGTTGATTGTATTTTTAGTTGACCACAGCATTTATTATGTACTTCTCAATTTTGCCTTAGTCTTTCATGTATAAATTTCTCTAAAGATTAGAATTGAATTGATATTGATGCTTACTTTTAAGAAATCTGAATTCTAGTAGTATTTAGAACCCTTCTAATTAAGTTTAAGAGCATCATCATCATCCTTTTTCTTTTATTTTTTCTCTTACATCTTTAATATCCTTTGCTTCTTCTTCTCTATAATCATAACTTAATAATTCTCATTGAAAATATCAGAGTCTCTTTGGTTTATCTCTGACCGTTCTGAATTTTAACTCAGCAAATCGAGAGAAGTGGCATCATCCCAGTACTAGGAATTGTTGAACAGACTTTCCATCTCACTAGGCTTTTTATGTCCTGAAATTAGAAGAGGCTTCTTTTCTTAAATGGTATCTGTATTCATTGAATTGTATTTGCCATCTTTGAGGGGGTTTACATTCCTCTTTTTCTCACTTATACCAACTTCCTTCAATAGTTCCATTATATGCAAGTTGTTTTGCATTTGAAGGTAAAAGTTATCTTAATCATTTTCCTCTAAATCCTCCACACTAATAATTTCTGCTGCACAGTTTTCATCGTCATAGTCAATTTGAATCTCAATTCCATCTTCTCCAGCTTTTTATTTCTTTTCCTCCCTCTTCCTCTTTGCCAGGTTCTTATAGTATGTGCCTATACTTTAGAAATTATGGACTAAAGACTGTGTTCTTTTCTTTGATTGTAGTCTTAAAATAGAAGAGGTTTGAGATAAACTTCTCTCTAGCTTAAGTCCTTTAACATTTAACAGATTCGAATGAGAATTATACTAATTCTTCTTGATCTTCTACTGCTAGAAGAACTTCTTGAGATTTTACCTTTAAATGTTGACATCATAATCGGCAAACTTATCATCTTTAAAATTCTTTAGTGAGCCATTTGTTTCAAAGCTATCACTTAGAATATTGCCTGCATCATTCTCGATTTCCTATTCCCTGTCTTACTGAGATTTAAGTTCTACTGGCATGAAAACCTCAAACATAAATTGCTTTGTATCATTTATCTAGACCACACACTCATATCCAAACTTGGTAATGAGTTTTGGCTTTTAATAGTGTATCTCAAACTCATTGTTACTGCCAACTGAAAACTTTGATTCGTGCACATAGGTGTCAATGCGTCCTATTTTAATAGAGAACTTCCTGTTAATTCTGTCTCTACTTTAGCCTTGCTTTGCATGAGATGCTCGTTTTATTGATAGGTAATCAATCGAAGACCCATGAATATTTGATTTATAGTCTTCAGATTCTTCAGTGAGACTACTATTATCAGAATTTTCTGCGCTCTATGAATCCTCGTAATAAAATTAATTATTAGTTCGATCTCTGGCCTAGGAATCAGGATTGTTGTTATAATTACCATTCATGTTGTTGTGCACTGTTGATTCATGTCTCTTAAACATTTTAGTCTATAATACATAATTATCCTCATTAAGAGTATTTTGAGAGAATATGTATTTTGTCTTTCTAATCTCCATATTTCTCCTAATAGCATTCTTTCTTTAAATAGGCAAAAAATCAGTATCAGCCTAACTATTGCCCATCTCTAAGTGAGCATGATTTATAATGCTTCTTCTTAGCCTTTATGGTTCAATAATCTTTGGTGATTCCTGAATCTCACTCATAATTGATCTTCTACTATCATCTACTAGAAGGGTCTGGGTATCCCTATCACCAGAGGAAGGTTTTCTTACTCTGAGATGTTATTTATCTATTACTATTGATTATAGTTTATTTTAAATTTTAAAACCTGTCTTCTATATTTTCCTTAATTATTCCTAGTCTAATAATACCTTTTTCTACAATTTTTTAGACTATTGCCACTCTGCCAATGCTATAATATGATCAAGAGTCAAGGATAATTCATAATCTTCATCAGGATCGAAAAGTTTGTGAAAGATTCCTATCGGTGATTGTTGAAAAAGAATCTTAACAATTTCACTGGCAGGAATTTTATTTCTACGGAAAATAAAATCTTTAATGAGAGAGTAAAGTTCCAAACTTTCATTTTTAAAGAGCCCTATTCTCTGTTGCATTTTAAGTTTTCTTTTTTCATTTCTTTCATTCTCTTAATATCTAGTAGTTCTTTTTGTATTCTTAGTCAATTATTGAAATCTACTGTTAAAAATATCCTTATTGCATAAATCCATAATTTTCCAAGAATTACCCCTCCTAATGTGGCAAATTTAATTGTCTAGTTCAATTAGATTTTTTTATGCATAGAAATACATTAGGGTGTCCTTAAAGTAGATGTTTATTACCTATTAATTTAAATTAAATATCCTTCCAACTCCAGTAAGTGTGCTGTTTCTCACATTAATTTATCCATGATTATTTACATAAATTCCTGAAGGAAATCTTTCAGGTTAAAAAGTTGCCATATCAAGTTAATTTAAAATCTCATTCAGATAGAAATCTTATTATTTCTTGTCTGGCGTATCTTCTTCTTTGATAACTAATTTGAGATCAAATCTGTGTTAAGCTATTTGATCCTCTAGTCTTTCCTCCTCAAAATGAATATCATTTTTCTCTACCAATTCAGGCTTGCTAAATAAGTATTATATTTTATTGAGCTATTTTTTTAGGATATAATGCATTATGCTATCAGCAACTTAGGCTTCTTTTATGAAGGATCCGTATTTCTAAGTATTTTGTGAGGAATTTTATACTTGAGTTGTAAGTGACCTCAAAAGTGATTTCTTTACTTCTTTTTGCCTCGAATTTTACTAAATGAATAATTGCTCTAGCACTTATAGTTCTTTTTAAGTAATAATTTACATTACCTTTATCTCTTTAATCTTAATTATTTTTGTAGGAAACATAATCTTTTAGAGATTATCAGAGGTTTAGTTAAATTTAAATGAAGGTCTTTATTTTTGACTTCTATTAATGGAGAGTACTGCCAACTCACTTCTTGTCGGGGAATCATTTTTAGTACCTCTTATGGTAGACTACTTTTAAACATAGTTTTATAAAGTCTATCTTCCTTCAACTGTTTCTTGTTTTCTTAATTTTACATCTTATTTATCTTCTGAAGTTTGCATATTATTCTATTGATCAAATACAAAGTCATCTATCATTTAAAATTTGTTCAACTTCCTTACAGGACTCATTGTAAAAATACTTTGAGTTTGGAAATCAGTTTAAGAGTATTTAAAAGTATTTTTAAGTTGTTTTAAAGTAACCTTTTTTTGTATTGGACTAGACTATTTTTGAATTAGTTGAAATTTTTGAAAAATTTTTTCTTTGTACTAGATAGTGAAATCGTTTCTGTCTAGAATTATTGGAGTTATCATCTTCGAGTTGTAAAGTATTTTAATTGTGTCATATATTTTATCTATTATTTCATCACTTAACCCTACTCCATATGTTGTCAGATACCTCATTTTCAAAGTCAAGTATAATTCAGAGTTAGAAGGATCCCGCTAAAGTGTTCTTATTCTGCTTATAGATAATTCAGAGGAACCTTAGTGCAAGAGTCTTTCAGTCTTTTTTCTCATTGGAGATTTTACAATGAGATCTGTAAATTTAAGTGTTTTACTTCTCATTACCTATTTTCTTCTTTTAAATTCAAGAGTACGAGGCATCGCATATTATAATTTCTTAGACTTATATTTTAATGCCTCTAACATTTAAGTCTCAATTGAGAATTCTTGAAATGTTGAAATTCTGTAATTTTTACCAAGATATGGGCGAAATTGATCTTACTGTTCCAATGAAACTGTTATAAATGGCAAGGTTTCTAAGTTTAAGTTTGAATTCTATTTAAATTTTGTTGGTGAAGTTTCCTTATCATTTTCTTATTTATCAATTTTTAATGTCTCTAACTTCTGAATCAAAATTTCTTGATTTTAAAGGTTCACCTATGATGTGCTACTCATTCGCTAATTTATTACTTGGCTACTTACATTGTTTACATTATTTCCTATCAATAGATCCTAATAGCTTGATTGTGCTCGGAGTAACTCTTGCTGAATATCATTGACATCTGCAAGTGAGCTTGATCTGGAGCTTGACTGTTCGAATTCCTATTGCTAGAGAGACTGATCACTTTAAAGTAGTGATGATTAGGATTTAAAATTGACCAAGGATTGTCGATGCTAGTTGTCAATATTATTATTTTATTAAACTGAATTTTATTATTGGTTTATTACTTTCTCACTATGCTGAGGAGTAATGACTATTTACTTAGTTAATTTGTCTACTCGCTCAGTAAGTGCAGACTAGTAATGCTCAACTTTATGATTGCTTCTTTTACTTCTTCCACTACTTGAGGGTGTTTAGTGTCCGTTCTTTGGAGTTTAAAGTTTACTCATGTTCTTCTCTATAATATCCAGAATTTAAAAAGTAAGCAATGGATTACCTTGATTTTAAGATATTAGGGTTTCTACTTTTTAAATGACTAATTTTAATTGTTCCTCCTATCTACTATCTGCTTTAGGCAAAGGAACATCCTCTTATTGAATTATTACATTTTAAACAAAATTATTATTCTATGTAAAAGTCCTAATACGGCTTCCATTACTAGGGATTAATGAATTTGCAGAACTTATTTATCTGTCTGGAATGTATAAAAAATTATTAGGACCAAGATCTGGAAAATATTATTCTTGATTAATTTTGAGGTTTTTCCTACCCATAAGCATTAATTACTACTAATTCTTTTGTTTGGCAAGCTTAGCTTTTTTAGCCTTTTAAGCCTCTTCCTCTTCTTATTTTTTACGCAACCGGTATTATTCTTACATTTATAAGAAATTTTATTCTCTCTACTTTTTACGTAACTCACCATGCATTGGAACTCCCGAGCTTTAATAAACAGTAGTACCCCCTCCTCCACCTGTGCTGGGATTAGTATTACTTGATGATTAAAATGTAGGTTAGTACTGAATTGTCTGAGTTAAAGAAGGATTTGACTATGTTGAGGGGATGGGTGCTGGATTCCTATTTCCAGGAGAATTGGCAGGTCTGAAATTCTTATAGATACTTTGTTAACTATGTGATTTCTTCATTGAATTAAATTATTATGATTATGGTCTTAGATTTTAGGAATACTACTACTATGGAAGCAAATTCAATAACTACTACTATGCACTTGTCAAATGATTTTAAGGTCTGAAATTTGACGAAGTGTAAATAGATCTCAATTAGGTTTCTGAAGTGAGCAGATTAGAATTCCTGGATATAGATGATTCTTACTTTAGATAAGTTTGATGACCACTCGGTTATTATTTATTTTTTCTTCAATCCATAAACTGAAAGTGTTGAAGCAAACTAGGTCCAGTCGTAGACTGATTTTCATCAGTCGCTAAGGTAGTCTATTCCAGCGTTCTCTATGTCTAGTTGTTTTAATAGTAATTTGCCATTTTATTCTCTAAATTCAACTTCTATAAAATTTATGTTTAAATTTATCATTTCATTGCTGATTTATTTAATTTCCAACTTGCGGGGTTTTGGGGTTTTGGGGTTTTGGGG